AGGAGGATTCGTGTGACGGGAGTGCGATTACGCTCGCCGGGTGTCTCCAGTCGAAGGGGGGTGTAAGGGTGCGCGATACACCCACATACACCCTTTTTTTCTGAGAGTGCGGAAGACCAAAGTCGGACATGTACGGCATAGGCGTCGATCTGTGCTTGGCCCTGGACAACTTTAGACGCAACTATGCGGCCGCCCTGGGCAACGGCGGAGTGTTGGCTTCGCGGTTCGGAACGCCGTGTATAGACTACCTCTACGCCTTCGAGACGATCGTTTACAAACTGCTCTATAACGAGACGACCAAGAAGAGGACAAACGTCCAACTCTGGTGGTCTCACCATTACGACGTCGAAGTCGGGGGCAGCAAGTTACCTAGCGGTAGCGTGGACGAGATTTACGCGCAGTGCATCGGAAACCGCAAGTTTACCCTCGTCGATTCGGCGGTCCCCGAACCCGCCAAGTTAAAGGAACTCAACGAGCATTTTACGAAGGAAGTGAACGAGCACTTGAAGAAGGTCATGCTCAAGGTGTTTCTCCCGGCCTTCTCCAAGTGGTTCGCGAGCGACTTTTTCCACTACGAGCAACGCGTCGTCAAGAACATTCACCAATTTATCGCCAGCATGTCTCCCGACGCGGACCTGTTGTACAACGACTCTAACTTCCAGACACAGTTCCCGGGTCGGAGCAACAACTACGCCCACTTGAACGCAATGGTTCAGCAACAACAAGTCGCCGCAGCCGTAGTACAACCGCAACAACAGGCACCACCGCCGCCTCCGCTCCCGGGAGGCGTCGGTGTACAGCCGCAGATGGTAAGGGAGTTTGATCCGGCTCGCTGGCTACAAAACGACAGACTCGTCACCGACTACATAAAAGACTACAACAAGGAAAACATCTCCGAGACCCTGGGTTTTTACCTGATGGACAAGAACACGATGAAGATGGTGCCCAATGCCAAAGACGTTCTCTACAAGGACAACGTCATTAACGTGGCCGAGTTGGCCTCTATAATTAAACAGGAAGCGACTGCCAAATACAAAATTTTATTTCCCTTCGACAAGAGATTGACAGTGTTCCCCTACGAGGTCTTCTATGGCGAGCAGGACGTCCGGCGCATCGACGACGACATTTCAGCGGTGGCTCTGAGTCCGATCGAGACGTGCGCGGTCTTGCACGCAAATACCTGCAAGTCGGTGTCGGAGAACATTGTCACAACGTATCGTTGAACATTAAACTTCGTAGTTTCGTGAAATTTTGATAGTCATCTTCTTTTATAGTCTTTCTCTTTGATCCGCTAGAAAAGATGTAGACACTTCGCAGGATTCGCTTGATGTGGTGTTCGCAGGAATATTGTAGTACGTCCAGCGCTCGGGCCTGTATGCGTACTACGTCGTTGGGCTGGTTTTTATTGTCCATGCATTCTCGCACGAGGCGATCAAAGGGTAACCTACGCATGGCAAAGTCTCGGTTTTCCACCGGTTTCTTCTTGACACCGCCTTTCTTTTTCGACCCTCCATTCTTTTTGGACCTTCCATTCTTTTTTTCACGCGTCCTTCTTCGGATTCTGTCTCTACGCTATCGCTTACGAACCCGATTCTTGAATCGTTGTTTCTGTAAGTCTGTGTGTCTTCTTCGGATTCTGTCTCTACGCTATCGCTTACGGACTCGATTCTTAAATTGATGTTTCTGTCACTCTCTGCGTCTTCGTCGGCCACTGTCTCTTCGTGATTGATTACGGAGTCGAGTATTGAATTGACGTTTCTGTCCCTCTCTGCGTCTTCGTCGCCTCCTGTCTCTTCGAGATTGATTACGGACTCGAGTATTGAATTGACGTTTCTGTCACTCTCTGCGTCTTCGACGGCTCCTGCCTCTACGCGATCGAGTATGAACTCGAGTATTGACTTGACCTCTCTGTCAATCTCCATGTCTTCTCCGTTGAGTCCGAGTCCAGCGGCTCCTTCGATAGCGTCCATCTAAATTTTTATTTATACCTGTGGTGAGTATTAGCGTCTCCTGTTGCTGTTTGCGTAATTTGCAGACGAGATTTGTATCATCTGCGCTACCTTACAACTCATGTCCAAAACGTTTCCTATGATATTCAAGCCCAAGATGGTTTTATCTGCGGTGGTTTCTATCACTTTGCTTCGGTTCTTGAGCGCAAATGTTGCCGAACCGACCGACGCTATTCCCGATGAAACGACGCCGACGAGCGAAGGGAGCATGCTGTACTGGGGGAGGACGTCTCGAGTTGCACCTGCTTGGCGGGTAGCTGCCATCTCTTTTTATATATATTTAAAGCTGTCTACCGCCGAGATTGTTTTGTTGATGTTTGCTAGCGTCGCTATTGATCTTCCACAATTGCCAGCTCGAGGACAGGATGCAACCGGCGTTCCCCAACATGCTCACCGAACAGGCCGTCTTGTTCAGCTTGGTGCTCATGTTACTCTTTTCCCTTTGCTTGTAAATCATTGCACCCATTGTACCGGCTGCCAGCGCGGCGGATGCTATGGCTATGATGGAGGGTTGTTTGGATGGAACGACTACTCCGTTTTGGGTGGCCATGATTCTCCTTTTTTTTATTATACGAACAGAACAAAAACTAGAAAAATGTTTGTAGTGAACAGGGCACTGCTCGATGCGTCCTCCGATTTCGAGGACGACCGCGACGACGTGGAGAAGACGCCGACTATGTCGCACGATTGTAATAAACGGTCAAAGCGTTCGCCGGAGCCGGAGTGCAGTAAACGCGCCAGATTCGACACGCACCAAGAAGCGCACGCTCGAGATGAAAGGGGCGAATCCGACTCCGTATACGGGTTTACAATCGAAGACATCGGTCCGGAGTACGAATACAAAGATTCGACGCCGACTGCAGTCTGCGATCGCGCGAAGGAAGAGCTCTACGAAGGCCTTACCATAAATAATTTCATCGAAACTCTAAAGAACGAGTACGAAAAGAAACGGATGGACGAACAGGTCCAACGAGAGGGTGTCAAGAAATCCTACGCGAGAATGTTTACTGCGCCCGACTTTAGCAATTTGATACTTAGCGACGACGCGTTCGACGCGCTTAGTAGCCAAGACGAATACGGAGAAGACGAAGACAGTGAGTATCCCAAACAACCGGACTTTGGCGACGATATTATACGCGCGTCCTTCAGGACGAACCAGAAAGCCGACGCATCTTCGTCGGCTACTGACCAACCGGAGCAGCAGCCGTCGTCGTGCGCTCTGCACAAACAACTCGAGGACTATCTGCGAATGCTCAATCATTGGTTTTCGTACGTCGTGCCGGACGACACCGTGGCTCAGGTCTTGGACATGAAGAACGTTACGGACCGTTTGGAAACTATATGCCTCCTCTTTCAACTCGTCGTAAACCTCTTGGTGTATACCATATCCGACTCGATTCACGCAAACTACACCTACAGGTCAAAGGTCCTCTGGCGCAACTCGGGTATCATTGCAAAGTTTTGGAAAGTCGAGTTGGAAGACTACATCAACACTCTCATCGTGTTCAACGCAATCGTGAAAAAGACCATCGTCGAGTTGGACTACTCAATCTACTCCGAGGCGGCCAACAAGTACATAGAGAGGTTGCAATCGCCCGACGTGTCCAAGACTAGGGTGTGCATGGACCCGTTTAGCATAATGCGAGAGACCTGCCTCGACTCGCTCTTCAAGTCACTGATCAACCTCATTACAAACACCATGCTCTACGACGACTATGTGCGGAGAGAGCTCGTGTCGCCGATACGTTTCGGCGGGTACGAGTCGGTGGCCAAAAAATCGCGCAACGCCAACCTGGTCAACGGAAAGTTGGGAGAGCGACTGTCTTCCATCTTTTCGGACTCGCGGAGCACAGACTTTGGCGCCGTCTACGGCACCGTCGAAGAGCTACGTAACGACCGGAGGAGGCTCTACTCGGACAGTAACGTGTTGGACAATTCGCTGAGGGCCAACGTGGAGCTAAACAGCACCATACAACGCGTCCTGTCGCGCAACGGCAGCTTCGTCCATCTCTTTTCGCACACCGACTCGAACCAGACCGTGGTCAACCGGATCACGACCATGCACATGTTGAGGGTGGCCGTCTCGTACACTCGCTGCGTCTCCATCGTGCTCTCTACGCCCCTGTTTACCGAGAGGACCTTTCTGCGCGGAGACGTTGCCGTCTCGGCCGTGAATCACGGCGACTACGTAAACGACACCGTCATGGTGGACAACCTGTCGACTGTGCACGCTTACGCCACTTCGATGCGAAACACAGAGACGATAGATCACAAATTGTACCCCGAGATGGTTAGCGTCGTCTTCGCCAAGCCGATTCGCCTGTCCATGCGCTACTCGGAAATCACCCGAATACTAAGGTATTTGGAGCGAGTCAGCGGCGAGGTGGACGCCTACCATATCGTGCACTGTGAGGTGACTTCGTACGACATTCAGCAGCGGGCGTCGTCGCCACGCACGGACGAAAACGGCGTCAGCCTCACCTCGATAAAGATGACGGTAGACGAGCTCGGTCAGTGCGTCGAACAGCACATACGAAACGTGCCAACACTCTTCCTACCCAACAGCCTGAACGAATCGAACGACCTCGCGCTGTTGCAGAGGGGCGTCGATAACCTCATCATTTGCCAGATTCAGCCGCGCATAGACGAGTTTTCAAAGTATATAGCCCTGTACATGGCAAAGACCCCGAAGGACATACCGTTTTTGAGAAAAACGGCCTTCAATATGCTTTCGGCGATCGTCTTCGGCTACATTAACCAGGCTAGCAACGCGATTCAGAGAACGCGACGGACGGAACAGATCATGTGGTGGAGTGATCAGACGACGCTCCTGTCCAACATGATCACCTTCCTCAAGGAACAGCTCCGCGAGTATGAGCGGGTTACCACAATGGAAGACGAAGCGCCCGACGAAACGTCTGACGAGAAAAAGGGACGACGGGATAGGGTAGAAAAGACTGCATCTTTAATGTGTTGAGTAAAAATTGTAACCTAAACCGTACTATATCTTTCGGCGTATTTTTTCGGATCGCGGACGATTAGAGTGCCGCAGTAGGCGGTGACGCCTATAAACAGTGCGCACACGACTCCCACGCCCGTGTACCAACCAAAGTCGATCAGATCGGGAGACTCATCGTCGTCGCTTTCGGGGTTGCCGTTCGAGTCGTTATCGGTTATGTCTGCTTCACTCTCGGCTTTCTGCACATCTCTCTGCGGATCGGTATCGTGTATGCTATCGTCGCAAATGTGCGTGACGATGAATGTCTCGACGCTCATGCCGAGTTGATTGGTGGCCGCGGAACCGCCGCAGCCGCTGTGTACGTAGTTGTCCTCGGTCACCGTATAAGCTTTGCCGTCGTACATGAACATGTAGACGGAGGCGCGATCGTTGCACTTGGAGCCGTCGAGCGACGATTCCCACATGGTACGGTTGAAGGGCTCGTCGGGTAAGGGGTAGTTGTGGATGGTCTTGGCGTCTTGAAAGTAGAACGCGTAACCGTAATTTTCGTAGGGATTCAAACTATCGATGTACTGAGACAGGTTGGTTTCTTGCCCGTCGACCATTATGGCCTTGCTGTGAACAAAATTTTTAAAGGATACCCCTACTCGATAGTAGTTTTCGTCCGCCGAAAACACGAGACGCCCGTGAGACGGGTCGGTGATGGCCATCTTGAGACGCCACATGTCGTTAGTCAGGTCCGTGACCCCCCAACATGTACCGTCCTCTGCGGCGAAAATGAAACGCTTCGTGTCCCAGTTGTACGAGGGAATAATCAGGCTGTCGTTGAAGAAATTTAAGATGACTGGTCTGCCGCGAATGCCCGCCAGTTCCCTCTGCAACATGGCCTCGCTCATGAGCGTGTGCGTTCTGTGTAGACCGGAAACCTGAGAGTGCGCAATCGCAGAGGCGTCTTGAATTCTGAGAGTCCGGAGAACGTCCATAAAATACTTGTAGTCGCGATCGAAGCTATAGCCGCTTTGAGCGACCGTCTGCTTGGCCTCTGAGAGCGCTTCCTGAATGTCCGTGTCGATGTCGCGCGAGCGACATTGGTGCCCGAGCCAACCGCCGTACATTATTGCAGAGTCGTTGTATCTGCTCGAGCGATCCCTCATCACGGATACTTCGTTCGATGTAAAGAACCGATTGTAAGATTCGTACCACTGTGAGTAGGGCAAACTGCCCCCGGATCCCGGCGTGGAAGGGTTCATGAAATACGACGCATTCTTCAAATGCTGAAAACCCACGGCGTGGGCCAACTCGTGTAACACCGTGTGTAATATGGTGTCCGCCGAGGCATTTACGACCTTTAGCGTGTTTATGTGGATCAGCTTGTCGTACACGGCGTGTGCCAGAGCGTCTCGGCTCCCGTACAGAATGCTACTAAAGTCGTATAGGCACTTTCGCAGACCGGGTCGCCCGTCTAGGTAGTTATCCTTGGTCGAGAGGTGCGGTTCGGTGTAGAAGCCGTTTTCGGTCGAGGAAAGGTACTCTCCCAGTTGAAAGGATATCGGAAAGGGCCTTTTGATGTGTAGCTGGTTCCGCCTGTCGGGCAGAGCGTCGAGAGACGAATTGTATTCCATGACTCGAAGATTGGAGCCGCAAAAGATGTGGCCGTTCAAGAGTTCGGCGGCGAGTTTCACCACGGCAGCCAGTTCGCGGTTGGTGAGCGTGCTGATGGCTTCGTCGTTCTTGATCACGTAGGTGTATATCAACTGCGGGCTCCCGTAGTATGGGTCGTTTACGGAATTACGTATTCGTTGCTCACCGAGAGGCACTGGCGCTTCTCGCCCGATGCGTCATCCACCATCTTTTTCGGCTTTTGACAGTACACTAAGGGCGGTCCGCCGTACAGAGTGTCGTTCTTGTCGCACGTGTACAGTACGGCGTAACTCGTCTTGTTCACTTTGAGTATCTTTGAACGAACGTTGGCGACCTTGAGCAGACTCTGGCAGTAGGGCAATTTTTTATTGGCGTTTGATTTGGAGGCCACCAACGACGGCGCCACGAGTAGCGCAATCATTAAACCGATACGTACGGTCGTCATTTTTGTATTCAATAACAAAATAATCATGAGCACAGTCCCCGTGGAGCTTCTTTCGACGGTAGCCAGCTTCCTGTTGGGATGTTACCTATTTAGGTCGTGCGTTTCGCGAGATGTCTTGCAAAGGAGGAGCGCCTTGCTGGCGGACAAAACCAAACCGTACAGTAAATTGCCGTCGGGCTACGACGCCGTCGCTGGCGCGGAGCGCTACCCTTACCACGAACAGGTGGCCATCAAGCACATGGCCGATACGTACGGTCGGCGAGCGAGCGTAGCGCCCGAGAGACACGATCTTTGGTTCCATTGGTAAATAAAAATGTCCGCTTCGACGAACGATCGGTACGACCGCCGTCAAGACCAGAGCAGGAGCGTTCCGAGGTCTAGCAAGAGCGACGAAAAGCAAAACTCGCTCATGAAAGCCTTCGAGGCCGCAAAGAACAAGAAATCCAAGAAGGGAAGAGACGAAGTGTCTGCGAGCAAGATGGAAAAGGAACGCTACTACGCCCGCATGAAGTTGCTCTTTTGGATCTTTTGCATCCTGGGTTATACCGGTTGGGTCGCCGGAGTAATGCACGGCCTCACCGACGGCAACTACATGTTTCGAGGCGTACTCGGTACCATACTTTGCATCGGAGGTCTTTTCTTTATGTTGATTGCACCGATATCCTCGGCGGTCATGAAACCAGAGTGTTCAATCCGTCAGTCGGGCCTTTTGCAAGCCTCGTCGTGCCTGATAGTCATCATGCTCAGCGTTTTTGGGGTTGCCGTTTATCACATGTACATGCAATCTCTCGTGGCTAAATAAATTTACACTCTTTGAAACTTCTCGTCTTTGTCTTTATTATCGATCAACGTTTGCGGTATCCGTAAATTACCATCGCTCCGAGTGCGCTGCCGGACAGCATGCTACCAATGAGCCAGGACACGCCGTCGCGGCCATTGTCGTCGGGTTCCGCCGGGGGAGGACTGGATTTGTCGTCGACGGGATTCCCGTTGTCATCGACCTCCACGGATTTGGCAGGCGTCGACTCGGCGCTATTGGGATCGATGAGCATCTCGTATGGGATCGAACCGAAGGTGTTTTCAAATACGTGGGGCATGGCGTATTCGGCGTCCATCGGAGACACGAGCCACGTCTTGTCCCTAACGCGTTGCATCTTGCGACCGTACGTATCGTACCAGGTAACGAGACGAGTCTTCTGATCGATGAACGGAGCTCTGGTCTTGTGGTTTCATTCGGTGGCAGTGACCTCCCCTTCAATTTTTGGAGGCACGGCCTTGATGTTGGTCTTTGTCTGAAGGATCCGGTACGTCTTTAGCATAAACACCTCCCAGTTGTCCACAAAGTCTCCGACGACAAAGTCCGGGTCCGTCATCTCGCCGACACTGGTAATGTATCTGTTGTCCACGCAGTACACGCCGTACAGCTTGCAGAAAAATTCCACCAGATTCATTTTGTCGGTCGTGTTGAGGTGCTGAAAGTCGTAGGGGACGTGGCATGAGAAGCCGTCGATGTTGATGTCGGTTCCGCTCGAATTGTTGCATATGTCCAGAATAAAGGACATGATGGTGTTTGTGGCGCCTCGTTTGGTCACCGTATTGGTGCACTCTTTCAGATACGCCATGCGGAGTTTGGTGCAGATGTGTTGCAGCCTGGGCGTGTCCGCTATGGCCTCTACGTTCACGTTGGGGTTCCAGAGCAGCGCTCGGAACGTCTCGTTCTTGAAGAGCACAATGTGCCCGTTTTCGTTAAACTCCAAGTCTCTCTCTCGCCACACGTCGTTGACGTGAATCTGCGGGTACATGCTGCTGTTAATGTCCTCCTCATATTCACTCACTATCGTATTTGCGATCGAAACGGACGAATAACGGTTCGAATGCGGCATTTTTTTATTATACTAGTTTCGATAAATTTGCAGCCCCTTGATGGCGAACACCTCCCACTCGGTGACGTATCGCGCCGTCACCACCGACGTCGACGATGTCTCGACGGACATGACCTCGTTGTCCTTTGCGTGAGTGAGGTACATGTCCAGTTCGCACTTTACGATTCGGCGCCGATCGAATGGAGACAAGTCGTGATAGGCGTCGGGCACGACGAACGTGAAATTTATAAACACCTCCTCGTCCCTGGTCTTCCCATTTGCGAGCAAGTCGTCCAGATAGGCGAGACAGAGCTCGTAGAGCGATTGCAGTGACCGGAACGTGCCGTATTTGTCTCTAAAGGCCTCGACCAGCTGCGTCGACACACCGCCCGCCCTGGCCGCCGATTCCACCGACGTGCCGGCGTCCCAAAGGGCGTAGCGAAACAACTTGTTTGTCGGAAGATTCATTCTCAGTCGGGATGAGTGCCACGAACGAGAACGACGATCTGGATCACATTATAGCTCCATTCCTGAGCGACAAGTATATCCGGGAATTGTTTTTGCTCTATCCGACGGGTTCCGGCAAGACGAGGAAAGGTGCTCTCGTGATGAGATATCTTCTCGATAGCGGTTTTATAACAAAGGTCGTCGTCGTGGTGCCCCGGTCCGCGCTCCTGGCCGACACCGAGCGCGAATACCAACGAGTTATTGGGACCGACATCTACAAGGCTCCTTCGCGAAAGACAGTTTACAGGCGGCTTGCACATCCACACTACGGTCTAAGCAAGAAACCACCGTCTTTATCGACGACGGCGGAAGATCGTTACGCGGTGGACGTTTGCGGATGCCGTTCCGGTAGCGGCGTGGTGCAGATTTTCACCCGGAAAGACTTTGTTCGCTGGGTTCGCAAGTCGCAACACGACAAGTCGGACGAGGTGGTGGGCTACTTTATAGACGAGTTTCACACTTTCATTTCGAGATCGAATCTCAAGAGCGACGCATGTTTGGGCGGCAGCGACGCGACCACCGGACCTCTCGTAGCGGTGGACGAGCGCAAGAGGAGCTACAAGGTGCACGCTCGCAACACCGTCCATAAGCTGGCGCACGAGACTCGCGACCGGATATTTGTGTGCAGCACGGCCACCCCGTTTTTTACAAAATTCGAAGGCGAGCTGCTCCACTGGGTCACCACCTTCGACCAGGGCATAAAGACGGTCGAGGACGCCGAGAGATACTTTAGCATTCGGATGGTCGTTCCGAAGCAAGAGTTTCTCAAAAAGATTTACAAGACGTCTCTGCACGTGGTCAGGGACGACGGGAGTTACACCGTGCCCAACGTGGTGGACGTGCGCTACCCTCTGAGCGAAGACGACTTCCCCGCAATCGGCTGCGACTGCAAACGGGAGACCTGCGACGACATTCACTGCGTCGTCAAGCGAGTCTTTGACGAGATTGTGAAGCGTCCCAAGGACAAGCACTTTGTCGTTTCGTACCGCTACGACATTAGAGAAAACATTTTGACCATCATGAACAACGGCAAGCACGAGAGCAAAACGACGGCCCGAAAGTTTGTCTGGAAAAACATGACCATCATATTCGTCGTGCCAGGGGACCCCGCCTGGTACCTGACGAAGCTACGCGACATGTACAACAACTTTACCTCCTCGCTGATCATGGTGACCAATTTCTTTTTCTGCGAAGGCCACACGCTCAAGAACGTCAAGCACATGCACATCATCGGTGGATTCCCCACCTATGAGTGTGCGACCATGTTTCAGGCGCTGCGCCGAGTCTCGAGACTCGGCTCGCAAAGCAACGTGGACTCGGCCGTGGTCAAGGTGTACATGTACAACGGCCAGCACTATGCCACGAGACGCGGCAAGGCCGTCGACAGGGAGAACGTGATTCGGAGAGCCATGGTCAGAATGATTCGAGACACCCCCCTTTCTCCGGCCACCGCAGACGGTAGACTCTCGAACCTGCTGGCGCTGTACGCGGCCAACAACGACGACAACCGCAAGAGCGAGCCTTCCGCAGACGAGAGCGAGATCGACAAACTCTTGGCCGCCACATCGCGCTTTGCGTCGTCAAAGTACTCGTACAACATTACCGGAATAGGCATGTGCCTCATTGACGACTCCATCAACAGGTACAAGATTGTCCAGAAGCAAGCCATGCGGCAATATTTATTCGACAAGCGAGTAAAGACGACCAAGAACATACGAATCGTCAAGGACTTTATGCGATCCACCTCCTTCGGTCCGGGCGAGATTTTTCTATCGGTACTGGACGTGACCTTGACGGGCGACGCGCTCGTCGATAACATCAGACGTCACGTTGTAAACAGGTACGTCATCTCGAACAAGATTGATAACTTGCCGCATTACGCAACGTCCTACAAGAAGCTCATAAAAGGCGCAAAGCTGGCAAACATGACCATAACCGCTCTGCGGAAGGTGCTACAGCAGGCCGGACTCGGGTCCGACTTCACCCACCGCAACGAGGCCATCCTGGCGTTCTACGAGTGGGGGCGCGCAAGTAACAGGATCATTGTCCTGACCCCAGTTATGACGCGATGACGGATCGACAACTGGACCTCTTACGATCGACGGAGGCTTCGCGATGGTCAAAATTCAATTCAAAGGCTTTCACGACGACGGACGGCATCCAGATACCCACGAGCGTGTCCCTCTTCAACGTCCGAGTGCCGGCTTGCACCGCGTTCCTCGCGGACGCACTGGTCGAGAACAAGTGTGCCAAACGCGTCGAGGGGAGTCTTCACGTCTACTACTTCGGCGTGGCCCTCTACAAGACTCTGGGTTTAGCGGAGGCTTGCGGTCTAGACTTTGCCTCGGCCCTACACCGAGAAGATCTCGGCCGCGTCTACTTTACGCTGGCTTCCAAAGTGTTCCCCTCGTCCTGTCTCAAGGAAGTGGCGCCGAGGACACTCTGCTACCACGGAACGGTGTGTGGCTACCGACGTCCACTGACGGGGGTGGTGTTGGAGCTCTGGTCGGTTCACCGCGGGGAGGCTTCGGAGGCGCTCTTTCGGAAGTACGCGGTGCAGGTGGTGCCCTACGTGCCGCAACTCTTCTCCTTGGACTCGGAAGGTGCTGGTGGTCTGAAGGAGCGGCTCAA